GGAAAGAGTCTTCCTTCTGTTAATTTTAGCAAAGGGGTCACATTAATGCTAAAATCCTTCACTGGAAAATCTATAAAGCCATCATTTTGACTTTTTAATAAATGTCCAGTCTTCTGTAATATTGCCCGAATGAAAGTAATGTATTTATGAATTTCCTGGCACGTTTCACAGAAAGCAAACAATTTCCTTTGCTGCCTTGATGCCCTTTGGACAAGGATTAGGAGGCAGGCGACTGACAGAGGTCTGGGTGAGTTGTGGGCCCTCTGGGGCTCTGCTCATCCAGGTCTACACAGCCTTCATCCTCATATCCACTCAGCATCAGTGGGGCAATAACAGTCTTTATTAAAAGCGCATTGCAGAAGTATATCTCCATACAACATACTTTCAGATTTCCCATAATGTGGCATTGAGAAAGGGTCTGGTGGTTGGGGGCTACAATATCCTGTTTCTGGAAAGGTTTACTTTGCATTTTAAGAAGCATGAATAAAGATGGACATTCCAGAAATGGCTGCCCTCTGTGTCAGCTTTGCCTGTGGGGAGCAAAAGCACAGACTCTGGACCATGCATGCCATCTTAAGGCCCATTCATACCTCACGTAAAAGTCGGATACGGATACGTGTGGAGTGTTTCATACGTTCTAACCGTCGATTTCGTCCGTACTTTGACACGAAAATTGGGAGCTTACGCTTACGGACGAAACGGATCAATACGGAGCAATACTACCGGAAACGGTGGGGGCGCTATTGAGTTTTTAGTACAAAATGCAACAGAATCAGGTCTTGGACCATCGCCATGTTTTGATCAATGACGAATCATTGGCGCCCAGCACGGCCACCTAGAGGAAATACGGGTTATTGCGCACCTCAACGGACGGAGGTATGAAGGAGTCAACGGATAGAACGTACGGACAGAAATACGGACGTGCAGGCCAAACGTGAGGTATGAATGGGCCTTAAGCGTGGCCTGGCTCGCCTTTGATTTTACCTGGATTTCACAGCTGTGCTGTACAAGAGCTAGAGGTCATGAAGATTGAATCTAAGCTGGGCAAAAAAATTACGTCTTTTATGTAATGCAAAAACAATGAGACGGAGATAATAAAAACAAAAGCATAACACACATATCAGATTTTAAAGGATAGCTCTATTTTCTTGTTTATGTAAATTTTCCCTATTTATTTGAATATTTTTTAAGAGTTTGAAACATTTCCTTACCGTTTTAAGCAGTGAAAAAAGAGGGAAAATTCCATCATTAAAACCTGTATATGGGTGGGTTTTTTTAATTTTCCATTTCTTACAATCATTTAATGGTCGAATTATTCATTTTTTATGAAAATTTGCTTCTTAGAAGACGTATGCAGTCTTCTTGGACATAGGCGTTACACATTAAGTTTTTCAGCAAAGCAACAACATTCTTAAAGTAATTACATTTGGGAAAAAAAGACTTTTGTCCTTAATTTCATTAAAGTAAAATTAGATTATGCATGCAGACATCCTTTTATCTCAATATTGTAAATAGGTTCTTAAAGTAATGAGGACCAGGGATGCTGACCTAAACTAGAGGTATAAGCAGTCATACCATAGTAGGGAAACAAAAGCAAATCTAGCACCTCCAAGAAAATTCCTCCACAATAAGATATTCAAGTTTTTACATTAACTCAGGCAAGAGACAATGACTGGTGGCTTCCCAGGTGGCCTTAGCCCCGGTCTTCCTCCCAGCTTCAACAGCTCACAGACAGGGATTTCCTTCTGTGAGGAGAGGCAAGCCGTCACAGCCCAGCGATCAAGGGCCTGCCATCTGTGACTGAGGCAGATTTACAGCAGGAGCTAATCCTCAGTGTCAGCCATGTTTGTTCTCCATCTTTGCCTCCTTCATACACATGTATAAAAATGCACATGTCCACACACAATAATCAAAACTCTTTGCACCCCAGCTTTTGTCCCCTTGAATGCTTTTTATAGTAAAAAGCAAACCAAGATTTCACTCTTCGCACCACTTCTCCCTTTTTAGAGTCATGTTCTTATTCTGTTCTTTGCTCGAAAAATAAAGGCAATCAATGAAGTGCTAAGAGAGCCAGATGTTTCACAGAGCAATGTGCCCTGGTGAGTATCATTCAAATGAAAAAGAGTCATCATAGGCATGAGTGTGCCACTAGTCCTCACATATGAGCCACCCAAAAATTTTTTCCCAATCTTGTCTTGCATCCATTTTCATTCTTTAATATGACAATAGAATAGAAAGTCAACAAACCTACACTAACAGCTAGCACTGGTTGCCTGACATTGCAGCATTTTGACACACATTTTGCTCACTCCAGAATCAGCTTTTATCTCAAGTAAAGTGTCCATCATACCATAGAAGCTCCTGCAGGTCACCATCTTTACTGAATTTATGTTAATGCTGAGGTGCTTATTGAAGCAAACTCTGTGCTGTGTTCTAGGGTAAGTAAAGGCAAGGGTTCCCTCAGTGACCTCTGTGCTCATGGCAGCTGTGTGGGGCTGATGTCCTTTGGAAACCTCCTTTGTTTTCACTCAGATAAAGGGTTAAAGAAGACAAATGGAGGTAGGAGCCACAGATTAACATTCCTAAACACCAACTCTGTAGTCTAAAATGTATTTAAACAATAAAAATACAATTTTTTACATGTATTTTAAGAGGAAAAAAAATTAAATATGAATGAAAATAATAAATGTTGTCCTTGCTCTTTTTAGACTATGGTCAGTAGAGGCTTCAACTCCCTGCTATCCACACATGAAGCATTCTAATGAGACACCATGATATGCAAAGAGTATTTCATTATGTCAAAGAATGATCTAGTTCAGAATCCTGGTTTCTGTTTAAAAGATGCTAGGTGTTAAGAAAGTGAATGATTAATCTCTGCAACATGTGTTTATAATATTTGAAAAGAAAGGCGGCATACAAACATAAAACATAAGCCAGCAGTGAGAAATGTTTCCCACATCACATTCAATGGATACATGAACTATCAAGATGACTGAAAATGTCTGAGTAAAACTCTCAAACTAGTCCAAATGCATCCGCCATAGCTGATAGGCTAAAACACCAAAGTGTAAAAGTAATGGGAGATTACAGGATTGTATTTTCAAGCAAACCCACGGCTGTGAATTTGTAATTTAACAAGGATAATTATTTCTATAGTCTGTGTAAAACAAACAGAAATAACTGACAATAGTAAAAAATATTTGGCCATTTAATGACCATGTATATAATCCGCATTTTGAAAAAAAAAAATGAATATAACACACCCCAACTATTTTACTTAAGATATTTCTTTAAAATATATTTCAAATGAACCAATCCAGTGTCTACATGCATCAAACATTAAACTACAAATTATTTTTGGTAAATTATATTTCTTTGAATAAAATCTATTTATTGTGTACTTAAAGAATATACAGAAAAGGAACTAATTTCATCTGAAGAAAATGCAATTTACCAAAGTCTACTTGCCTTGTTACTAAGGAAAATGCTAAATACAGTTAATGCTGAAGATGTTGATATTACAAACGCAAAATTATTTAATAACATCGTACGACGGTAATTTGATGAAAGGGCTTATTTTTTTTCACTTTGTGTAAATCAACTGTTGCTGAAAATGATCACTATTAACAAATGCTTGGTATAGCCTCTGAACTTGTACACAACAGACCAAGTCTTATTTAAAAAGCTAAACAGTTAGTCCACAAAGAATGCTTCAATGTGACTATTTCTCAAAAGAAAACTAAACGTTTAAGCTTGTGTGAATGCTTTCTGAAAAACTTCACTTTGGAAATTTCTTTCAAAAATGTTAAATTAAATTGCTCTCACTAACAATGGAACATCATCAAACTAAATTATAAACACCTGGGTTAGAAAAGACCCTGTGAGGTGTCTGGTCTATTTTAAATAGGGGGTATTGTGGTAACTTGATAAGGTTCTTCAGGGCTGTAAGGATTTGTACATGTGTAAAGCACACTGCCTGACTCAATGTTTGAAGCTCTAGTTTAGATAAAGACATGGCCATATGAAACATGAAAGTAAATAGAAAACTAGACGCCATATCGTTGACTAAAAACAATTTGCTAACAGCAAAAACTCTTTATCTAACTCTCTTATCCTAAACACAAAACATAACCCCTCCCCCACCCCAATCTGTTTTAACCTTAAAGGCCCTTCCTCTTGCCTTTGCATGTTCGCCTGTCCACTGTACTGTAGTCATTAACATATTTGGAGTGCACTGAGCAGAAAGCTTAATTGTCCCTAATTGCTCAGCTAAATATGTTCTCTAATGATTTGCTTCAGATCTGTGACTGCCTTTTGCGCAATTTCCCGGCTGCTGGCTTCATTATCCCTGCCTCCTTGGAACAAAGCGTCTTCACAGGCTGGCCCTTTTTTTTTTTCTTCACCCACATAACACAGACAGCGAGTATGTGTGCGAGGGAAGTAAATGGTTCCTTCTTGGAGGGACACACAATAGAGGCCCTTTGTCAAGACACAGAAGTTAAAGTGATTAGAAAACCAAATCTCTACTAAGAAAGCGTGTTAATTGACCACAGCTCACTCCTCCTAATCAGTCCATAATAAATGGACAGTGGAGGCACTTTGTTTCATCTAATCCACAGTTGGGGTAGTGTCTGTTTTTTGGTGTACTTGTTTAGAAAGCTGATGCTGTTGTTTAGCCCCTCCTTCTTCATACATAATGCTTCATCCTAATGTTTTTCTAATGGCTAAAAAATGACAGCTTCCATTAACATACAGTTGTGCCCTTGCAGACATACAGTAGTTTGTTGTGAATCACGTTTGCGGCTAAAACCCAATTAGTTATTAGTTGTTTTTTTTTTTTGTTTTTTTGTCCTTTGGTTTAGTTAGAATAAAAACATATTTAGTGTTCAAAAGCGCAGCTTCTCAACTGAGGCACCGAAGAAAAATCTATGTGTAAAGCTGCATAAAAAGTAAAACATAGACTCATTCATTTATAAGAAGCGAAAGGTTCTTGTCCTGACCTGTATCTGAAGAAGGGCATTTGCGGATGGTAAAGATAGAGCTGAGGTCCTCCTCCTCCTCCGGCAGGCCCTTCTGCAAGCGCTGTAGCTTCCTGAGGCTCTCGCTGCGTTGGTGCTTCATGGAGCGCACATGTTGGATGAGGTTGAGCTTGGCCTTGGTCGAGTAGTTGCACAGAACGCAATGGTAGTAGCAGGCATCACCCTCCACAGCGTTTTCGTGCTGCTGCAGGTGCTGAGGGAGGAAAAAATAGCAGGATGACGAAGTGAAAGAGAGAAAGAGAGAGATGGGAAAAAGAGAGAAGAAAGAAGTTATTGTGTATGGCAGATAGCTGGCCAGGCACCACCGACTCACTTTCACTTACACAGCTGGCAAATGAACAAATCAATTCCCAATCACAGCCCTGTTGTTTAACATCCAGACCTCTTTCACTTCAAGACAACTGTTTGGACTGCACACTTGTCTGAGTGAGTGTCTGTATCGTCGGCTAACAGGACAGGAGAAGCTAGGGAGGCACGCCAAATCTCAAGGGGCCCAAGGGTGAGCAGGAATAGAATCAGCCATCCTTCAGAAGCCGTGGGTGCGCAGCCTCACAGTCGGAAGGAAGCATTGATCCCCTTCACTCAACAGAAGCTTCCCGTCTCTGAAAAAGGAAACTCCAAACATCTGCCTGTTTCACGCATGGGATACTAAATATTGATCATAGTGAGTTAAATTCTCACTCTCACAGAGGAGCACAGGCAAACCCAGCCTGTGGTGAGGCAGGAGGAGGGACTGAGTGTAATCTGAGGGAAAACAGAACATTCCCCAACAGGAGGACAATCTCTTGAAAACAGGAAATCAGCATCAGTATTGACCCTGACAGTTAACAGCATGCCCTGTCCAGCCTTCAGCCTGTCCCTCTGTTAAGTCATAACACGCGTAACACCCCATAGGGACACCATGCCACCACAACCACTCGTCACACCGCCGAGATCCAATCTAATTACCTCCTGCATGACTCAATCAATGATGCAAGGCCAACACAATATGGCTGGACCTGGTGTGAGCAGCGGAGATATTGACCATTATCCTAAAGTATCACACTAATGCATGTATACAATAAAAGTCCCTCACTTAGTATGTGTCACGCCAATCACTGGACACACTCAGATGAACCTGAGATGTCTTGCTGTGAATTTCTAGGTCTACAATCAATGTCAATCCCAAGGATTCTCTCTGTTCCCTATAATTTTCTTGGTTTCAGTGTTCAAAGTGTTAAGCATGTCTTAAGAGGAAAACAAATAGCTTTTTTAACTTCAAAATGTTCTAATCCTTTGGGATTATTTCAAAACCTCAAAGCTGGATGTCATTTTTTCTTAAGATAAATGCGGGAATAAATATCTTTATTCATCATTAAACAGTGTTATCATATGTATCTCTGAAAAAGTTTAGGAACATTTAATAAGCTTTATCAGTATTTCTGTTGGAGTACTGAGTCCCAATTCTGGCTAAGCAGATCTCCAAATTGCTATCATTTCCTCCTCCGTGCTGCGTGTTAATAAGATGCTTATTGTTGCCTAAATATTGATAAAACACTTGAATATTAGCGTCTTCACTTAGACAAAATTTGGCTCAGTTTAAAACAAGATAAATAGGTGAAAAGAACAGAAGAACACCAACCCTGCTTCAAAAGCAGCTTAATGCACAATAATTAAATGAATGCTTCAAGCGGACTTCTAAGTGTTTCTTTTTTAACACCTAAAGAATATAATCCTTTTACATTATTTGCCTTAAACGTTTACTTGCTTGGCCAAAATACATTTCTACTTATGAAGAAAAAAATTAACTATCCTGTTCTGAGCTGAGACCTCTTCTGGCTATAAGACATAAAAGTAATGGAAATATCACACATTTAAGTGCATTACCTTAAATTCAGGTGTTGACAGCCTGGTTTTCAAAAAAGTCATAACAATATTATGCCTCCCAAAAATGCTCTTGTCCCTTTCTCCTAATGTTTAATTTTCTGGCAATATTGTAATATTGCCATGGGGTTTTCTGAGCTATTGTGTTTCATTCTCTTTGGTTTCATATTTCTCTCTTCTAAACCTAAAATGTGCATTAAGACAGCGCTTCCAGGAAAAGGAATAGGAGATTTTTTTTTCTTTGTGAGCCCCACAGCTCGGTGTAATAGAGTTATTAGGTGATTGTATAAGGCTCTGCGTGCTCTCCTTTCTCGCCTCGTTTTAAGTCATCCATGATGTCATGAATAGGTGTTGCTGGATACTGTGGGGACCCTCCTCTTTCTCCTTCTTTTCCTCTCTACACAAATATTGCATCAGAACTAAGGCAGAAGGAAATTTAAGACAGATTCAGTTATAGATGACAGCAAATCAGTCAAATTGCTTTTAGTCACAGCAGATGTCTTGAATTAAAAACGGCTGCTGCCGCAAATGACTTAAGGCTCCAAAAATCTATGAGAAGACAAGTAAAAAAAAAAATGACAGCACCTGACTCTAACTTCAAAGCCAGTCACATGAGGATGGAAAAAAAAATCCTGGGAGTTTTATAGTTCCCTATAAAAAGCACAAGGTTTAAATAGGAGTGAACTAGGGACCGCCTGCCCCACAAGGGACCATAATTCACTATAAAACTGACTGGTCTGGAAGATGGTCTCAGTGGGGCCAAAAGCAGCTTGCCCTGGTACTTGTAGCTCTGTCTACTATCTCAAATGATTACACCTGTAAACCAACACTTTCACTATCTCAGCGACGGCCGTGACCTGGAGCAGTCTGCGGCATTTCAGCGTCAGCGAAACAAGAGGATCCTGCCAAATGAAGAGCAAGGTGGTTGCTGCTCATTTCGTTTTTTTACAACTTGGGCAGAATTGTGCATTGCATAGAAGAGTGGCAGAAAGACAACCTGCAGCCCTCTGATCATTACTCTCTGATTTTGAGAGGATTCCTTGAATTATCCAAGCGTGATTCCTGAGATCATGTCTAAAAGAACAAATATATATTGGATATTCTCTTAAGTCAGCTCCAGGTTTCACTCAGACATTTATACTTTCAATGTGAAACATAATAATGCATGAGGCAGGGCTTGTGTCTTTTTCCTATGAACCTGCAATGAAGTCCCTGGTTGATAAATCACCTCCAACTTGAGAGGAGGAATTTGGCAGCTTAATGAAAAAGTCATGTTGGTCTTGAAGGTCTTGCCTGACTCTGGGGTCTCCAAATTCCCTATTAAGGCCCCAATGGAGGGGGGTGGGGGGTGGAGCAAAGGAAGAGTAGGGGTGGTGGTGGGTGAGGATGGGTGGTTGGGTTGGATTCATTGATTGCCTTGGTTGCTATAATTTCAGTGGCACTTAACTTTGGGAATTTACAAAATGTATATACTGAGTCTGGCTGAAACATTTTAATGTAGGACTGACTGTAATGCAAAAAAAGTGAGACACCTTAAGAGCGTACCCATCCTTTATGTCTGGTTTAATAAAAGACAAAACTTCACAAAGAGTTGATAAGTAATGATTATTTTAAGCTAAATGTAATTTATTCAAATCCAAGGGGACAAATTTCAGATAGACAAAATTAAAATATTCCTAACATTTTTTTTATTATGCTTAAATTATTACAAAAGTGTATTTCTTAACCTTTGGTTAACAACATATTCAATATATTAACTGAGATTTTATGTGAATTGCATTTTATGTGAATTGCAAAGTTAAATAAATTGGACAATGTTCATGATTTTCATGATTATTTCTGGGTATATATAAGAAAAGCATGGCATGCATTTGTATTCAGCCTCTGCATTAATACTCTGCAGGAGTACCTTGTTTGAAATTACAAGTTTAGATCTACAGTATTGTGGTTTGCTTCTTCCATCTTTGCACATTCAGTAGTAAAAATGTATTCTCCATTTTATTTGCAAAGCACTCATTCAGATTGGGTGTATACAGTGTAAGTCTCAATTGCATATATATTTTGTTCCACTTGTTGAATAGGCTTTATAGCCTGTATTTCATTCTGTTCATTATCTAATCAAATCTGACCATTTTGCTTTCTCTGCTGAAGGACAGCATCCTCATACAGGATGCTGCCACATGTTTCATGGGATAGTACATCTCAGTGGCAATGTGTGGTTTTGGTTTTCCTCCACATAGAGCATTCTGCATGTGGGTCAAAAGTCAATTGTTTTTCATATTAAATTAAAGCACATTCTTCCACTCTGTTACCTACATAGATTAAAGCAAAATTTAAACCAACTCTGTGAAGTGTACTGGTTATTGCTCTTGCATGAGCAGCTTTATTACACCAGAGCTTTGATACACTCCAGTTCTTACGGAAAACCTAGCCTCTTGTCTGCTTCTCTGGTTAACTCTTTCCATAAGCAGATAACCAATCTTGGTAGGTCTGCATTGACTATATATTTCTTCTATTTTCAGGGGAAAGATTAAACAATGCTTGTGATAATGATTTCTAACCTAATCATGCTTTGGACTTCTTCACAACTTTAGATTTCTGACTAGTCCTGTTTAATTCTTATAATGCCATTTGTTGATTCATTTTTACATACCAACCTTTGAGGCAGTTGTAAAAATGATATTTTCTTACTGAGATAAAGTTACATTTAGGTTACTTGTGCATGAAGTTTAGTTAGTTTTAACAGAGGTTATAAGGACCAAAGTAAACTAAATAAGTGCAAGCCTAATTATTCAGATGCTTGTTTGTATGTTGTGTTTTTTAACTCTACCAACTTTCATTTTAAAATGTTAACAACCATGCATTCCTTCTCTTTCACTTCAGAATTATGAGCTATGTTGTGTTTATCAACTAAACTCCAAGTTAACACACTGACGTTTCAACTTCTAATGTAAAAATAAATGTAAGTTGTAAAGCTAAAGGAGTGTAAACATTTTTGCAACCTACCGTATTTGTAATAGTGCTAAAAGGTTTGATTCCCAGCTTTTTGTATTTTTGTGTTCTGGAATTGCAATCATGCCGTTTTAAACCTCTCTCCCTGATGAAGGGCCTCACCTCTCGTTGTGGAGGCTGAAGAAGTGCTCTGTGCTTTTTCAGGTAAAGAGGGACAGGGGCGGTGTGGGCACAACCCCATCCTCTCTCTCACAACTCTATGCTGCACCTTGCCCTCTGAGTGGGCATACACATGCCTATATCAGTTACAACACCCACCCAGGGCACGGCATACATCTGCATTTCCATCCACTTAAATGCAAAGTAAAAGTGCACCTT